AGCAAGCTTGGTTAATAAGAGATTTATTATACGACTGAAGTTCAAAGGGACACAAGTGCGGTATCATTCGGGACTATTCGGGACAGTGCCCGGTCCAATACTGAGAGAATATTGACCGAAAATAGAGCATTTTGATTGGTTGATTTTAGTTATTGGCTCTCTGACTGCCCGAGTCGTGTAATAATTATACTTATTCAAAACTGACATTTGACATTATTAGTTACATGCGGGCTCTTTAACCTTCTAAAGCATCCGTTTGGAAACTGAATTGACCAATCAAATGATGTGTACTATGTTTATTATGTTATAAACAAAAAAAATAGACTATAGACAACAAATGAAAGTTAAATTTATGGAATAATCTACTAATGTATTACACTTTTAATAGCCTTCCTACAGAAATATAAATTTCTCGCTTTCTGTATTTTCAAATATTTACCCTGCAGACACTGCTATTGTGCTGGAAAAATGTTCAGTTACTTCGAAAATTCAGAATTGTCATAAATATTTCTTGTATCATTTCCAGATAACCACTACATGAGGATCCTGTTCGATGATATCTTCCAGTTCTTGATGCGTCAGGCCTGGAATCAAGAACATGGTCAGTTTAAAAATTTAAAATTTCTCTCATAAGATTTGGCTCAAGCTTTATTATGAGTATATACATTTACATTTTTACATTTATATAGCGCAGACTTCTATGAGGATATATTCAGTCACGCTTAACAGTATCGTAAGGTTGAGATCGGACGTCAGCATTTTTATCAGGTGTCTCTGGCAGCCGCTTCAGTCCATGTAGCGATCTCACCTTCCCATCCATCCCACCCCGGGGAGGACATCCACTACACAGTAATCTCGTGCATGGGAAATTGTTACTTCTCCTACCCCTAACCCTGCAGGAGACGGGACCTACGGCGTTACGTCTTATCCGAGAAGACGGAGTAATGCGAGTGAAGCGTCTTGCTTAAGGACACAACGTCATGCCCCAGCCAGGACTTGAACCCGGGCCAACCGACCCAGAGTCTAGCGCACTGACCACTGGACTACTCACCCCTCAGGGTAAAGATGCACTTAGGAAGTCTGGAGGGAACTTAACAAGCTAGGGTTACAACTCCAATGCTTTTCTTGCGCTCTCCAGCCTTCTGGCTGGCATGCATCCACAACTCAATATACACACGCCAAGCATGAACCAATTTGTCATTCACGGTTTTCTTTTTATTAGGAACCAGTCAATCACATGAAGATACCGTTTGTCTTGAACGAGTTTAAAGTTTGTGGATACAAAAAGAGAAAACAAAAAAAGCAAACAAACATACCAACAGAGATGCATCAAAAATACAAAAAAAAAAAACAAACAAAAGACAATCAAATTGAAACAAGAGAAAAATGTCTCACTACCTGTTTTACAGCATATTTCATCATAGCTGTGATTTCCATCCAACCATCTGTTGAATAATTAAAGTTAAGACAGCAATGATCCTTGTAACTAAAATTATTTCCTTTATATGAAAATCCTATAACAAAAGGAGCTCTCCAGAGATTTCTACTGAAGATAGAGCAAAAAGAAACTATTTCAGCTTCTTTCCAAGTGAACTTAACTTGGGATAATTTTGCCTGATTTCCATTTTGCTGTTCTGTTAATTTAAGCCTTTACCCCTAAGAGTGATGTGGGAGGCGCAGAGGCCTCATGGTGAGTGGGCTCGACTCTGGATTGAGTGGTCCAGGTAGAAGTCCTGGCTGGGGACACTATGTTGTAATCTTGGGCAAGACACTTCACTCCAAGAGTGCCTCTCTTCACCCAAGTGTTTAAATGGGTACCGGTGAATTTAATGCTAGGGGGTAACCCTGCGATGGACAAGCATCCCATCCAGGGATGGGTAGACATACTCCTAGTTGCTTTATGCTACGGAAACTAGAGTTAAGTGCCAGCTGGATGGGCCACTTGGTTTATATACCTACCTACCCTACCCTAAGAGTGATAAACATCTAATTTCTCCTGACAGAATCACCCCTAAACTCAACATTAAGGTCATGAGAATTAAGAAAATGATCACCAACTCAAGAAGCTCTTGAGACAAATTCTCCTTGCAAAAATCAAAGGGAATTTATAGAGGACAGTTATGGAGAACTTGCATACTGATGTTAGGGTGCAAATGGTTGACATGGATCTGCTGTGGTGCTCAGTTACAATAACTCACTTGTCTGTGAGTTTGAATCTGTTGCCATTTGAATCTCGATGTCTGCCTCTCATCCTGTGATAGCTTTTGGGTAATGACCCAGTCTTGTGTGTTGTCAATTGTACTGGGTATTTGTGGAGACGTCGAATAATACCAGTCACCATACCAAACTGCATTAACCGCCTATGAAACAAAATTGACTTTTTTTTTCACATATAACAAAATCTCAGATCTTTCTTAAATAGTTCCCTTAGGTTCACTGGCCATATTCACGAATAACTTTTAAATACTGGGTTCTGCTAGCTGCTGAAATCTACTGTTTGTCAAAATAGGTGAAAGAAGCAAGTTCCAGACAAAAAATACACAAACAGCTGTAAGTAACCTTTGCCATAGTACTGAAATTTTCTGCCGTGTATCAGTTATTACCTCTCATCTACTCGCAGATTAGCAGGATTGTATCTTGTACACAAATCTTTCACGGTTGCCCCTGGCCTGAGTCCACAATACAGCATAAAGACATCACGGAATGAAGGAAGGGAAGGACCTAGAAATAATGTTAAAATGTTACATGTCATTAATGAAATAAATCTATGTCATTCCAGTAGCACCTAAAGAAGGGTACACAGGACTATAGGCAAGAGGTATATGTACCATGAAATAAACTGTCAGAAATTCTGGGGGGTGCCGTCTGTGATGGACTGGCATCCCATCCAAGGAGGAAAGAAGCAATAATCCTGGTCACCTTCTTCATGCCACAAAGGATACATAAGTGCCACTAGTCTAAAACCACTTAGCATCTACATGTGCGGCCGACACAGCAGTCAAATGTTGCACATGTTGTTGTTTGTAACTCTCATGAGACATATTTGTTCTAACAGCCTGAGAGCAAGCCACCTGGCTACTAGCAAAACATTCACACATGCACAGACCTTTGACTGCTGCATTTCTAGATCCCAACTGTCTTATGGGTAGAATCTTTTGCTCTTCCCTTCCCCAACCCCCTTCCCCCTTGTTACTTACCATGGGCCATCTGTTTTAAAAAATAGAAGATAAAAAGTAACCTTTCTTACCCTTTTTTCCAATGTAGTCAAGACATTCCTTTTGTAATCTCTCATTTTGAGTTAACTGATTTATTTCAGGTGTTGGAATATACACATTTGAGTACTGTAACGTAAATCATAAGTATGTTACCAAAAGAGGTTCTATCTAACATCACAGGAAAAAAACAAAGTAGCTGGTGATGTCACATTGCAGTCTTGAGGCTTTTGCACACTGGGTTCTCTAAATGTTATTTTGGTTCTCTAAATGTTCTTTGATGGAGTCTGAATACTTGAAACACCCCAGAGCAGAGAAATGATACATCAATTTGCTGCCAAAAAAAAGTATGAATTTCAAAATACTTACCTGAAAAATAGGAATAAGCTTCACCACTTTATGCTGACTGTAAAATAAAAGAACAGGGTCTTTTAGACTTGAATGAATTGCTCACGTTACTAAAACCATAGATTAATTAATGGAAATCACGTTTTTGGGTTTCTTTATTCTTGGAATGAAACACTCACTTACAAGAATTTGCAACATTCTTCATGTAATTCAAAGAGCATTTTGGCAAAATAATTATTATATCAGAACTATCCTCTTTGTAAATAGTTCTCTGCCAGTCTAACTGAGGCAAAAGTTTATGATGTGTTGTTGAAAGCTAGAATTAAAACCAAACAATATGTTCATCAAAAGGAGACAAAGCCACTTCAACATACACCATATCCTGAATGCACATTCGCACAAGACTGATCTCAACATCTGCTTCACCAGCGATTCTTTGAACATGATTGAATCCATCAATATATGGCAGAATCTATAATCATGAAATATTTTTCACTCTGATCAGGAAACTGTTAGCAGCTAATAGTATTCAACAAGTACAGATGCCCCCTTAACAAACTAATTATTATTGATGCTAAACAGTTATTAACACATAGGTGCATGTGGTACAAAGTTCTCCAGTAAGTGAATCTTGATAAAAAATCTTATCCTCTCTCAATTGAATATGTAAGAAAATACTGACACTCTGAAAAGAGAATCTAATTGACTTTAAGTCCAAGGCTGTGCCCTAAGAAAGACTGAATGGAGCCCAGTACTCTGAAACTAAAATTCCTCAGTCACCCAAGAGCAAAAGTAAGGTGCCAGGGACCACCAGGCGCTGTTAGACCACAGCCTTGCAGTCTGTTGCTTTCCCAGTGTTGTAACCCATGCAGGATTGTTGGGAGAACAC